AGTACTCAGAAAATATATATCAACATGGTAATTTTCTCTTTTCTTTTACCTATGACGATAAACTACATCCACGTCCTGGGTAAGACGATAAACTGCATTCAACAGCAAGGCCTCTGATCAGGAGGTTTTTAGGAGTGTGGAACCACCTCTTAATTGCTGGTGTTCCCAGGTCCAACCTGACTCAGAGTGGCAGCACCTGTTACGGTCCCAGTTATGGACAAATAGTTAACCCCCAAACTGGTGTCAAAACACTATGAAAGTGTAGAAATAGGTCTTAATACCAGAAATACTTGTAAAAAAAAAAAAATTATAACCAGCAATACTTTTTTGAAAAAAAAAAAATATTACCAGCTATATATTTTTTGAAGGAAAAATATTACTAGCAATACTTTGTTTGAAAAAAAAACATTACCAACAATAAAAATTTTGTTGGCATTAAATAACCCATTGTGGTTGATGAGCCGTAATGCAAACCAAACCAAACCAAACCTTTTCCTTTAATAACAACACTAAAAAGTTTGTCTGGGAATATGAAAGGATCCAATTGAAAATAAGTAGACAAAACTTTTCTAAATTATTCAATGAAACATGTCTCAATGAAAACATGCTGCCAAAATATATGCAGTTTAATATATAATTACATGAATCATTCATACAAAAACAAATATAGAAGTTAATGATTTAAATCATTACCCTCTATATTTGTTTTTGTATGAATGATCCATGTAATTATAAGTTGAACAGCACCTATAATCGAAATTTAATATATATATATATATATATATATATATATATATATATATATGCATGCTAAGGAGAAATTTTGCATGAGAGTGAAAGAATTTAAGTTACTCTAGTCGTGGTTGTAGATAGATACAGACATACAAAACAGTCAAGAGACTGTTAAAAAATGAAAACAAATCTTAGACTGAACAAATAGAATACCATCCTACAACACCCACACTGTATGGTTTCCACAAACCACACATACCCATTGTACCTAGCATCAACAATTTAGCTAAATCAATTGTGAAACACCTAACTCCATTCCTAGGTACCATCAATTCAACACACATTAAACATTCTGGTGACTTAATCCAGAGGATACAAAATATAAACTTGGAAAACAAAGTTATGGATAGCTTAGATACCAAATCATTATAAACATACCTGTCACAAATTGCCTCAACATATTAAGAAATGACCTAAAAAAATCCAAAGATAAACTTGCTCTATCGGTCCACAAGATTATACATCTATGCAAACTAATTACTAACCACTGTTTCTTCCCTTTTCATAAAAATTTCTACAAGTGAAAATTTTGTTTATTGATGGAGTCCCCAATAAATAGTGTTCTTGCTTGTATGTTCCTTGAATCTTTAGACTCCAGCCCATTTAACAGAAAATGCAACAAAAAACAGTGTGGGGTTTGTGGTATCATTATAGAAGGAAACTCCTATACTTTTGAAAACCCCACAAAAACATTCATAATGAATAAAAATTTAAACTGCAACTCCAAAAATGTGATTTATGCACTCAAATGCACAAAATGCAAGAAGTCATATATAGGTATCAGACAAGCACTAAACCACAGAGTTTCCCTTCACACAAGCAACATCAAATTACCTGACAACAGAAAACTCTTTGTATCACAACACATCTACAAATGTAATCAAGGTAAATTTAAAATAATGCCAATATACCAAACAGACAATTATTCTTACCTACAAATACAAGAAAAAACTTCATAAACAAATTTAAACCAGCACTAAATAGATCATAACCCCACACACAAAAAACACAGCATACACACATAATGACTAAATACAGTAGTTGATTCTTTTATGACAACATAGAAGATTGCTATGCGATGATAATGGTTGCAAAATATTAGATGCAAATTGTAAATTCATAATACAGTTCTATGACGTCGTACCACGCGAAAGAACGAAATGTTAACAACAGAACTATATGCAATATATATATATATATATATATATAAACTCTTATCACCAGACCAAGAAAGACATTTGAATCACTACCATGCAAAAAATTCATTTTTATAATATGTGGAAATATCTACTTTTTGCTTAAAGAAAGTCACAAAACCAGAAACGTGTGTAGCAGAATTATGGAAAATAGAGTATAATATATATTTAAAAATAAAAAAAATCCACATTTCAACCAAAAACCCTTGCAGTTTATCTTCTTTTTAGAATATACATTTTTCTCTCGGAACAAACCTCTTCCTTATATGATTAATACAAATATAAAATTTGTGACTTAGCTGATTGATGTTAAATTCACTATCCCGATGCCAGAGTTTTGTCAATGAACCTTTTCATAATCATTAAGTCCACTCATCAGGAGGTTTCAGCAATTGACTGCTGATTTTCTCATTTTTGTTATTTTTATACTAAGTTAAAAAAATAATTTATGTGCTATTTATTGATGTTAGCTTGATCTTTGTGTGTGTGTGTGTGTGTGTCTGTGTGTATGT